GCTACTAGGTTACTAAGTCTCGGTCTAAGTCGCTACTTGTCTCAGGGAAAACCCTTAGAGTCTTATTTATAACAAAAACGACAAACATAAGTAAGTGGGCTTCGAGTCCGCTTAACAGGCCCATGGAACGTGGAGATCGAGTATATGGGCTCAAAGTGGGCTTCATGGTCGAGCGTGAATCGAAGCCGCGATCAAGTGGTTCCTTCTCTCCTCTTCTCTTTCCTATGCTCAGGTTGTCTGGTTGAGTGCGGATTGATCAGAGGGTCGAGGTGGTGATCGAGTAGAATGGTTAATGGGACGATTAGGACTGCTTCTTCTCTCCTGTGATCGAGTCGGTTGGTAGACTGTCAGGATGGACTGCCTTCTCTTCTCTGTGATCGAGTATAACAGTCTGGATGGACTGCTTCTCCTCCTCTGTGATCGAGTAGAACAGTCTTGATGGTCTGCTGAGCTGACTGCTTCCCTCTCTGCTACTGGTGATCGAGTAGAATGGTCGAAATATGACTTTCAGCTCTCTTTTTCCTCTTTCTAAACACCAATAGCCCCGAAGCACCTGAAACAACTCCAGAATGCAAAATGCATGCAAGACTAATGCTAGACACACTTAAACATGCAAAATGTACAAAATGATGATGAATGCTATGAAAGATGAATGAAACTGGACTCAAAATGGTGATAAATGGATGTATAAAACATGCAAATTATAGACATATCAGAAATATCCTACAAGAGAACAAAAACAAGTTTTGTAGACAATTATAACACACATTCTACAAATTTTCAAAATAGCATTAGTTGATACACTCCTAACTTTTTGTTTCATAAATACTATCACTAGTTTATTTTTCCAATATACCACAAATTTTTATATAAAAATTTTATTCAACAAAAGTAAATTAGAAATAAAATTAAAATAATATATTTGGATTTTCTGTTTCCTATTTCTAATTTAGAGTATATATTTCCATTATTTAAAAGAAATTTTGATTTATTTTAATATGGTATTTAGGATTAAGAACTTAAAAATACTGCGTGGGCAAGCCTTAGCTTCTATCTACTCTATTCCCCTTAGATGGATTAAGAACTTTAAAAGAATTACGCTTTATTTTAGGCAATTATAGCATTGTTTCAAATCTAATTTATATATTAAACTAGATTTTGGTACCCGCGTGTTGCGCGGGATTTTAATTAAAATTTTTTTCTATTATTAGAAATTTTTAAACATAAAATATAATCATTAAAACTTAAAAGCTAAATATTTTGAGTATAAATATAATAACTCAAAGTTTAAAAGATAAATCTATATAAACACTAAACTTATTTTACGATGCGATATACAACATTTATATTGTCGACTATAATGTTTCTTTGACAAAAAAATTGTTGGATATATATCATGTGGTAACAAAGATCACTTAAGAAATTTGCGGGAAGAATACACGGTATCGACGACCATCTAATGATATTTTTTTTTTTTTGTCATCCGAAATTAATTAGAACTCAAAAGAGTCATTCCTGTGGAATGTTGTTTACAAATGTGATATGAAGCGGTTCTGTACGAATTTTTCGTGCCAGATGATCCGCTTTTATATTAGCATTGCGAGAAATTAAAGATAAAGAGAATGATGAGAATTCTTCCTTGTCGCTCTAAAATTCCTCCAAGTACATTGAAAACGCCGGCCATTCGGTTGGAGAAGGGATCATCTTAACCAGATCAGAACAGTCTGTAAGGAACTCTACCTCTTGATTATCTGCACCTATCATACACTTCATCGCCCAGAGAAGGGCCTCGAACTCGGTATGTAATGGAGATAAACTTCGACGGAGATTTGCAGCTCCCATGGTTGGCGGCTCTCTGTTTGATGATGTACAGAACCATCATATACCGGAGAACTTATCACTTTCTTTCCATGATCCATCCACAAAGCAACGGTATCCTGAATAATTCGAGTCAAGTGAAGTATTCCCCACTCGAGACCGATTTACCAATTCCACAGTACCATGCGTTTCATGATGAAGCTCAATTTGGGCAGACTGCCACAATTATGCTTCTTTTTCCGCTAACCGTAATACCTCCAATGGATCTTTATCAATATTTTCAAATATTTTTTCATTCCTTGCTTTTCATATATACCAGATAATCCATGGAAAGGCTGAAGAGTCAAAGTCCGAAGGTATTCTCCAAAATAAATGGTCCAAATTCGCAAAGATAGACTTCGTTAGAAAAATTCCCATTGCTGTAGGAATTTGAGAGAATGCCCAAACCTGTCGTGCCGGGTGGCACTGAAAGAGTGTATGATTGATTGTTTCCACTGGTTCGCCACATCTGGCACAACCTGTATCACAATCGATTCCTCTTCTCCGTAAATTTTCCGCAACTGGTACACAACCCGTTAAAATTTGCCATAAGAAATGACGTATCTTAGGTGGACAATGCACTTGCCAAGAATGTGCTTTTAACGGTTTGATGTCTGGACCAATCAATGAGAAATTTGTTTCCCAATTTCCTAACCGTGCGGTATGATATCCCGATTTGACTGTATATTTTCGGGATTTTGTAAAATGCCACCAACCCAGTGTATCCTCCTTAGTTGGCGCACCCACAGGTAGGGCACTTATGATGGCGATATCTTCTGGATCAAAGATCTCCTCTAGGAGAGCAATATTCCAAAAATTCGACCGACTATCTATAAGATTGTTTACTTTTAACAATGGGTCAACAAGTGAACCATTACTCTTTGCTGGTCTTGGGAATTGAGCTGGAATCCAGGGATCCTCCCAAACTGAGATGGATGTCCCCGATCCGACCCTTTTAATAAGTCCTTTATTACCAAGAGATCTAGCTGAACAGATACTACGCCATCCATATGATGGGGAGTATGATTTAATATTTTCCAAGGGATTGGATTTTTGAAAATACCGCCCTTTAAACACCTTCGCAAAAAGGGAATCTGGAACCGTAATCAACCGCCATAATTGTTTAGCTAATAGGGCTGAATTAAAATCGTCTACATTCCGAAAGCCTAACCCTCCTTCCGATTTACTATTGCACAACTTGTTCCAAGCCATCCAGTGCATACCTCTGGAATCTCCATTTGACCTCCACCAAAATTTAGCAACCGCACTCGTAAGTTTAGAAGTACTTGTTTTCGGTAGTCTGAAGCACGACATAACATAAGTTGGTAGTGCTGCAGCTACCGATTTAATCATCACTTCTTTCCCACCTTTCGATAAAAATTTTGCCGACCATCCGTTAATTTTTGTTTGCAATCTACCTCTGACAAAAGAGAAAATTTTTGTTTTAGATCCACCCAAAGTCTCTGGCAGACCAAGATAAGAACCCATCCCACCGATATTAGTGATTCCCAAGGTAGATTTGATTTCCTCCTTGATATCCTCATCTACCTTATGTCCAAACTGAATCGAGGATTTTACAAAATTAATCTGCTGTCCGGAGACCGCTTCATATTTCTTTAAAATCCCCAATATTACCTCACACTGGTCCTTATTTGCCTTACAAAAGAATAAGCTATCATCCGCAAATAACAGATGTGAAACCGAAGGGCTTGCATTTGTTATCTTAATACCCGTAATTAGTTTTTCCCTTTCTGCTTTCCGAATATTCGCAATTAGTACCTCTGTACAAAGGATTAATAAATAAGGAGAAAGCGGGTCCCCTTGTCGTAATCCCCTTTCTTGTATAATTAGTCCTCTAGGTTGCCCATTAAGGAGCACTCTATATTGAACTGTTGTAATACACCACATTATCCAGGTAATCCATTTCTCACAGAAACCTAATTTTCTTAGAACCTTCTCAACGAAAATCCATTCCACTCTGTCAAAAGCTTTACTCATATCAGTTTTAATGGCCATGATTTTTCCTTTACATGTCGGGTTAGTCTTCAACCCATGAAACATCTCTTGTGCAATAAGTATATTATCCATGGAAATATGAATAAGAAAGACACTCTTTTAGTGATAAAAGATCATTCAATCGTCCTTCAACAAAAATCGGCTTTTGTAGAAGGACGATTGAATGATCTTTTATCACTAAAAGAGTGTCTTTCTTATTCATATTTCCATGAAAAAATTTCTTTAAAAGTTTTGACATTAATTATCAATTATTGACCTGATTGTAGATATTATTTCTGATTAAATGTTGATACGAACATGACATCATTCCATATAAAATGATAATGTACCGAGTTTCATGAACATTTTAGTGTAAAGGTACATCTATAATACCATGTTGCTAGAACAGGTTTAGCAAGCTTGTTTTATCCTTCGAAGCTAGTGCAGTGTGCCATAAGAGAATTCTCGACAAAATCATCATTGTGCCAATCTTATCTTACTTTTCATGATTACATGGTCAAACAATTAAGCCACTTTAATCTAATAATTTTTTAATAATGTATGTCATTTATTTTCTAAGAACTCATTCGTTTCACACAATGAATGGGATCTCAAAGATTTTACGTTAGTCATGTGCATTATCTTTCTAAGTTATTTTCAAACATTTTTAACTACCAATTCTTTCGTCATATTCTATGATGCACTCGTTGCCTCTCGACATCTACTTTCTTTTCACCTTTTATTGACTCACATATAATATATATTGGACTGTGAATTGATTTTCAAGACATATCATAACTATTTTCTCCCCTTTTTTTTTTTTGGGCAAACAACTATTTTCTCCTTAAAAGCATTTGATTCCATTGATAAAATACCAAAACTTATTTTCTTTTTTTGACCATGTTATAAAGTTGTAGTTCCACTTGAAAATATACTACACAAATTACATATGAATTATATTATTCTTACTAATAAAAATTGTGTAGTATAATTTTATATTTTAATATCTCATTTTTTTTTACAAATTTGTTTTTTTATTTATTTATAATTTAAAATTTATATTAATTATAAGTAACATAAATTATGCACTAAATGAATGTTTTAAATTTATATTAATGTAATATAAATAATGTTGATTAGATAGATGCTTAGAACTATAAATAATGAACTGCAGGGATCTCCAACTTCCGACGGGGGAGATAGTGAGCATTGGAATTGAGTATGAACGAATCAGGAAGAGATGTTACCAATGTTTGCGCCTTACTCATGACAAGGAACGATGTCCCTTTAATCCTTCAAACCGGCAAGTAATTGCTACGGGTGAAGTTAAGGCTGCGAACATTATTCCGAGTCGCTTAATTCCTAAAATCAGCAAAGATGATCCCTTGTTTGGAGTGCTCACAGATGATGATGTGGGAATTGATCTAGTATCGGGGAAACCAAAAATCGCTAAGGAAGTGCTTGATGAGATGAGGCAGTATCTATCGGTTGTTGATCAACAGGAGAAGAAGATTCGAATTGAGAGAGTCCGCAAATCAGTTTGGGGTCTCGAGAATGATATTCAAGGTCAAAAGACTCTTCTACGTTTGGAAGCTCCTGCACGGGTTACAACTGACATAGATAAAGGGAAAGGGTTAGTGTTTGATTTTCAACATTCAAGCAACAACTCACTAGCTATTGCGAGCTCAACTCGAGTGGATGCCACTGGGAAGAAACAAGACAATGAATCAGTAGCAAGACATTCCGCTTCCAATCCCTATACTACGGCCTTCGAGAATTCTTGCGGTTCTACGGTGTTTCGGGCTGGTTTTGCAACTAGCCCATCCGGAACTAAAGCTAAACTGACTAAGACTAGGAGGCGTCCTAATCAATGGAAGAGGAAGGCTCAAGCTCGTGCAAAGGCCTCAGGTCAATTAGTATCTCAAGAAGGAAAGAAGACTGAAGTAACCATGGTGTACAAGCGGAAGGCTACTGATGAAGCCGCAAACTCATCAAAACTCGCCAAGTGCGATGAAGTTAAGGTGGTTCCGAATGAGGAACCGCCGCAACAAGTATGAGCTTTATGAGCTGGAATTGTCAAGGCTTGGGGGGCACTTTGACAATTCCTACCTTGAAGGAAATGCGGCGTGAGCATTTTCCGGATTTCTTGTTCCTCCTGGAGACCAAAAACTCCAGCAATCACGTGAAGAAGATTCAACAATGGATGGGCTATGAACACTCTCATATTGTCGATCCTATCGGCTTAAGTGGTGGATTAGCACTATTTTGGAAGACGGCGTATGAAGTTGACGTTATTAGTTCGGATCATAGGATCATTGATGTACGAGTTAAGCTTGGATCACAACATTTTTTTGTTTCTTGTGTGTATGGTGATCCTGCTTCTCATTTAAGACAAGGAGTATGGAATAGTTTAATTGATATTGGAGTTTCTAGAGATGATCCTTGGTTGGTGTTGGGAGATTTGAATGAAATTCTTAATAACACAGAAAAACTTGGTGGACCAGCACGGGCGGAATCATCATTCTTTTCTTTTCGGAATATGATTAATGATTGTCGTCTACGGGAGGTTCCAAGTATTGGTAACAAGTTCTCATGGGCTGGAGATCGCAATAATCAATGGGTACAATGTTGTTTGGATAGAGCACTTGGAAATGAAGCTTGGTTTCACCTATTCCCACGGGTTCAAGCTGAATTCCTAGAGCGTATCGGGTCAGATCACCGTCCTTTATTTCTCCGATTTGTGAGTGAAAATATTTCTAGAACGGGCCGGTTTATGTTTGATAAAAGATGGACGTCTAAACCGGACCTCTTAAATATAATAAAAGAAGGATGGAATAAGGAAGGCAATGTAGGCCAGAACGATGTTTTGCATCGCATCTCCGAATGTAGGAAGCTCATCTCTAAATGGAAGCGCAACTCTTCTCAAAACTCTAAGGACAGAATTAAACACCTCCGGAATCAGTTAGATAACGAAGGTATGAAGCTGCAGCCCCATCACGGTTTAATGCAATCGCTTAAGTGGAGTTTAGCCGAGGCTTACAGGGAAGAAGAGTTGTATTGGAAACTTCGTAGTAAGGAAAAATGGCTGCGGGATGGTGACCGGAACACAAAATTTTTCCATGGAAGTGTTCAAAGAAGACGAGTACAGAACCGGATTCTCTCCTTATTTGATGACAATGATACGGAGCAGTTCACGGAGGGATCAAAAGGAGAGATAGCGGTTGAGTATTTTAGGAAAATGTTCGCAAGCTCTAACCCGGCTCTTATTTCGGAAGCCTTGGATGGCATGACACCAAGAGTTACGGAGAGTATGAACAGAGATTTAACTAAACCGGTGACAAGTGAAGAAATCAAGAAAGCAGTCTTTAGTATTAGAGGAGACAGTACTCCTGGGGCGGATGGCATGTCAGCTCATTTTTATCAAACATATTGGGACATTGTTGGCCCGCAAGTGGTTGAAGAGGTGCAACAATTTTTTCAATCTGGTGTACTTCCATCTGAATGGAACTTTACACAGATTTGTTTGATCCCAAAAAAGGTTAATCCTTCAAGAATGACTGATTTACGGCCTATAAGCTTATGTTCGGTGATTTATAAGATTGTATCGAAGGTTTTATGTGCGCGCCTTAAGGTTTTTCTACCTAGTTTAATCTCAGCAACTCAAGGCGCCTTTGTTTCTGGAAGACTCATCTCTGATAATATCCTACTAGCCCACGAAATGGTCCATGCGTTGAGAACAAATGCACATTGTGACGAGGATTTCATAGCCATCAAAACCGATATGTCAAAGGCTTATGATAGAGTGGAATGGAATTTCTTAGAAGAGTTGCTTCTCCGGCTTGGCTTTAATATTACCTGGATACAATGGATAATGAGCTGCGTTACATCGGTCTCCTATTTGGTACTCCTCAATGGCTCCTCTTATGGTTTTATTAAACCAGAAAGAGGTATCCGTCAAGGAGACCCGCTTTCACCATTTCTTTTCATTCTATGTGCTGAAGCTTTGGTACATATAATGAATAAGTCTGAACTGGAAGGCCGATTAACAGGAATGCGTCTAACACCAAGCTGCCCGTCGATACAACACCTTCTATTTGCGGATGACAGTTTGTTTCTTTGCCAAGCTACCTTCAAAGAATGCTCTGAATTTAAGCGCTGTCTCTTACTCTACGAAAAAGCATCAGGGCAAATGATCAATTTTAATAAATCTGCTATAACGTTTGGGAGGAAGCTTGACCCATATATGAAGCAGCTCATACGTAATTTTACCGGTATTGAGCAGGAGGGTGGTACTGGTAAATACTTAGGTCTCCCGGAATGCTTTAGTGGATCAAAGCGCGCACTTCTTGGGTATATTAGTGATCGCTTGAAATCAAGATTAAGCGGATGGTATGAGAAAACTCTTTCATTGGGAGGGAAGGAAGTTCTTATTAAATCTGTGGCTTTAGCATTACCGGTCTATGCTATGTCTTGTTTTCGATTGACTAAGTATCAATGTCAGCAAATAACAAGTGCTATGTCAAGCTTTTGGTGGAATGCGAGTGAAGACAAACATAAGATGCATTGGGTTTCTTGGGAAAAAATCTGCAAGTCTAAGACAAATGGTGGCTTGGGGTTTAGAGATATAGGTCGTTTTAACCAAGCCCTCCTAGCGAAGCAAGCTTGGCGCCTCCTTGATGACCCGCAGTCCCTGCTCTCTAGAGTATACAAGGCTAAATATTTCTCGAATAAGAGTTTCTTGGAAGCTAAGATTGGCTATAGACCCTCTTATGCATGGAGAAGTATTTATTCGGCCGAGAACTTCTTGAAAGAGGTCTCATGAAGACCATTGGAGATGGCCAGAACACAAGCGTGTGGGTAGATAAATGGATCTTAGACTCTTTTCCTAGAAGACCGATAAACAAAGATCTAATGATGGATTTGAATCTTAAAGTATCTTCCTTGATAACAACACAAGGTGAATGGAATGTTCTACGGCTTGCGGAACTGTTTCCTCCCGATGATGTCACCCACATTAGATCATTCCCTCCCGAGGTTAGTGTACCGGATAGATGTGTATGGGCTTACACAAAGGATGGCAAGTATTCAGTCAAGAGTGGTAATTGGGTTCTCACGAGGGAAGCAAGTTTACTGGAGATTGTGACGGCGGACGCTCAAGCCATTAATAAGACCAAAGAAAGAGTCTGGAAGATTGCCACTGCTCCAAAAATTATATTATTTTTGTGGAGAGCATTATCTGGTGCTTTGGCGATTGCAGATTGTTTGCGAACTCATGGCGTCGCTGTTAACCCGGGCTGCCAACTTTGTGGAAATGGGAATGAAACAATTTCTCATGTTTTGTTTGATTGCACCTTGGCTCAAAATGTCTGGCTCATCACAGGCCTTCCTAGGTGGCCCCAGGGCTCGACGTTGTCCATTCATGAACAGGTTGATTATATTTTAAATCTAATGGAAAAACAAGATATCGATAGAGAGTTGAGAGAGGCTATTCCCTGGTTGGTTTGGGAGATTTGGAAGGCGAGAAATTCCACCTTATATGCGGCAAAGACAAATTCTCCTCATTTTGTATTAGCCACGGCTTTGGAGGAAGCAAAGGAATGGTTGCAGCAACAAGCTCTCTCTCAACAGGAACACTCTCAAAGTTTGCAGCGACAAGTTATCGGTGAAAGATTCTGGACTAAGCCGGCGACAGGTAAGCTTAAATGCAATCTACATTCCTCATGGATCAAGAATTCATTCCACATAGGAGGAGCTTGGATCCTACGAAATCATGAGGGTGATGCAGTCTTTCACGCTCGAGATGCTTTTCTCCCAATGGTGAATCGATTAGCTGCGGAACTTCAAGTTATACTTTGGTGTCTTCGGAGTTTAAAAGAGCTGCGGATAGTTTCTTGTGAAGTATGGTCAGACAGTCGTGCAGCCATTGATGCGTTAACTTCTCCGGAAGAGTATCCTAAATATCGTTCTCAGATCATCAAAATTCAACAAGTAATACGGGTGATGCGGGAGGTTAGTTTTCACCTCTCTTCACCGAAAGCCAACTCTTTGGCCAAGGATATTGCTTGTAGTGTTACTCGAGAAGGACGATTTACATCGTATTTAGCACGCGGTGGTCCGGCTTGGTTACATAATCGGATTGAAAGTGAACGGCGAGGTCGAAGATGAGTCTGGTTTATTACGTCTTCCCCTGTTTTCTTTGTTGCTTTCCCCTGTTTTAATTTTGCTCTGCTTTTGTGAACTCTGGTTTTGCATTTTATTAAAGACGACAAAAAAAAAAAAGGTAGATGCTTAGATGAATAGGTTAAATGGAGAGAAGATTCTCTATATATATATATATACTATTTTAGAACTTTAGAGATAATGTTCTAAATTCGAAACAAAAAATTATTTTTGTACTAAAACTTATATTTGTGCTATCCATATTTTAAACGTTTTATCTCAAACACTAACTACTACTCCTTTTGGGTGCAGACGAAAATAAAATAGATTACGACTATTTTCATCACGACGTCCACTTGCAATTTTTAATTGTCACATTTCTGTTTCGTGAGTCCTCAAATTAATGGGCCGTTCAATTAAAAATTTAAAATTAATAAAGAAATATGCGTTACTAGCGTTAGGTGTGGGATTTCATTATTATAAAAGTAATAAAGATACAAAAAAAGTTTTTTTAAAAATTTTATATATATACTAGATCATAACCCGTGCTGGAACAGCACGGATAAAATTTTAATTTTTAAATATTTATATAAAGTTGGATTATTGTTTGTTTTATAGTACAATTTTAATAATTCTTTACATAATACAATGACATATAAGAATTTTTTATTTTATTTTGTTTGATGAGAAAATATTAGGGGTAGGGTACGGTTTTTTCGGTTTAGTATCGATTTTTTCGTTTTGTAGAAAGTGAAACCATATAGAAACCGTATGTAATTCGGTTTAGTTACAGTTCGATTTTTACGGTTTTTTACGTTTTTTGGTTAAAAATAAAACGTATGTATTTGATATATGCTAATAGTAAGTGAAAAAAAATTGCGTATATAATAAACATATTTTGGTATATAATAAGATTAAATTCAA